TTACTTGAATAAATTATATATTTTAATTACTTAACATTAGACAAAATAAAAAAATAAAGTGATGAAAAGTTTTTATATTAGCATGACAATTTTATTTTTGCTCATTCTGTAAAGCTGCTTTCTCTGCAACGTCTGTCTAATAACTTCATTTGTAATCTGAAAATCGCTAATTATTAATAAGCAGACAAACGGAAATTAAGTAGCGTATACACTATAAATGATTCAGGAAAGGCAGATGCATATAAACAAGTAAAGTAATAATAATGATTATAATAATAATAAAGTGTAATTAGGATTCTTCTCGGTATATAATGGATTTTCTCTTGCTTTCAAACCTGTTTCGCAGTTATTTCTTGATCCATGCAGTTGATTAGTGTGTGTGTGTGTTTGTGAGTGTGTTTTGTGACATATCAGGACACAAATCTGTATAATGACATGGGTATGACACAGGTATTACAAAAAGGAGGTGAAATATGAGGACATTGGTGGAGTCCTCATTTCTCAAAAAGCTTATAAATCACACAGAATGAGTTTAAAACGTCTCATTGTTAATTAGATTCAGTTTCTCAGACACTCTGAAGCCATGGGAGGATTCTGACCACAATATAAAGCCATTTGTTTCAATTATTCAGTATTAAGTCCAGCGCTTTGTTCAGTCTGTGACATTAATCGATGCTTAAGGACAAAGAGCTCTGACCTCATCACTGTTTAAAGCCTCAGCTCTAATTGACCAATCAGCTGCTCTGTCGAGAACAGCTGTCCAATCACAGATGAGGAATGATTGCTTAATGAAATTTCAACGCTTTCAGCCTCACAGAGGATTCGACTGTGTTTCCAGATCAATTAGAAAATATTCATTTATAAGATATATTAGATCATTCTGATTTAAATCATCCTTATAGTTATAAATATATTTTTTTTTGCTCCATGTATACATTTTTTTCAGGCAAGAGTTATTTATTTACTTCTGATGTTATTAACAAACAAAACAATCTTTATAAAACCATAAAGACAAATTAAAATATCTAACAATTGCAAGAAATGATAAAAAATTATGTTAAACATTAAAAAACTTTGTGTTTCAGTATATAAATATGCGCATAAAGAAATAAATGCATAAAGAAATAAATGCAAAAAGAAAGAAGGATAGATAGAACGACAGACAGACAGACAGACAGACAGACAGACAGACAGATAGATAGATAGATAGATAGATAGAAGAAAGCAAACAAACTCAAAAACTACAAATAATAATTGAAAAGAAGTACAAATGAAAGCGGATGAGGACATCAGTGATTAAGCAAAAGCGATTCTTTATAAAGCTGCTGGTATAGTTAATCACACACTGGGTTTTTCATTAAAGTTTTAAAAACGTTTCATGAGCATTTGAGTTTAACCAATGTACAACCAGATCCTGCAGGATTGTTGCATTTCCGAGTCTCATGAGGAACCAAAGCACATGTGCTTAAGTGTGTGTGTGTGTGTGTGTGTGTGTGTGTTTAGGTAATGATCCCCCATCGAGGCACCATTTGTCAGTCTGTTAAAGCTGCGTCTCCAGAGACTCATAATCTGCTGATCAGCATGAATAAATGCAGAGGGTGGTCATGATGGAGGACAAATGATTACAGGTGACACACACACACACACACACCACACACACACACACACGTGCACACACACGCACACACACATACATACATACATGCATACATACATACATATAACAACCACATGTGAGATGTGTTTACGTGAAAAATCTATAAATAATCTATAAATGTCACAGTCGTAAGTAGGGAGAGACAACTGAAAACAAGTCTATAAGAGAACACGTTTAACATGTTTTACGCTACATTACTGGTAAAAATATTAACTAGAGTGATGAAAATCTGATTTTGCAGGGATATTTGTTTTTATATCTGTGATCTGTCTTTTATAATGGAGTTCTCTTAAAATATATGGCACTATATGCTTGTGTATTACTGTAAATATGCATAAAACTTTTCTCATAACTTTCTCAAATCACAAAACCACTTGACTCTTGAATGTGGGAGGGAATTTGTTTATATTATTGTTTTTAAAACCATAATATACTTTTATATAACTACTTCCTAAAACCATAAATAAACCATAAAATGTTTGTTTTATTATGTCAAAAACCATTAAATACCATAAATATACCATGAAATACTTTTATAGTATTGTCCAAACCCATAAATATACCATACAATACTTGGATATTATTGTCTCAATCTATAAATATACGATAAAAATGTATGTTATTGTCTAAATCCATAAATATACCACAAACATACCAAAAAACCTCTGATATTATGGTCTAAATCCATTAATATATCATAAATATACCATGAAACTTTAATATTATTGTCTAAATCCATTAATATATAACAAATATACCATAAAACTTTAATATTATAGTCTAAATCCATTAATATACCATAAATATACCAAAAAACCTTTAAGATTATTGTCTAAATCCAGTAATATACCATAAATATACCATAAAACCTTTGATATTATAGTCTAAATCCATTAATATACTACAAATATACCAAAAAACTTTAATATTATTGTTTAAATCCATAAGTATACCAGAAATATACCATAAAACCTTTGATATTATTGTCTAAATCCACTAATATTCCATACATATACCATAAAACTGTTAATATTATTGTCTAAATCCATTAATATACCACAAATATACAATAAAATACTTTCATAGTATTGTCCAAATCCATAAATATACCATACAATACTTGGATATTATTGTCTCAATCTATAAATATACGATAAAAATGTATGTTATTGTCTAAATCCATAAATATACCACAAACATACCATAAAACTTTAATATTATTGTCTAAATCCATTAATATACCATAAATATACCATAAAACATTTGATATTATTGTCTAAATCCATTAATATACCACAAATATACAATAAAACTTTAATATTATTGTCTAAATCCATTAATATACCATAAATATACCATAAAATATCATAAATATAACATAAAACTTTAATATTATTGTCCAAATCCATTAATGTACCACAAATAAACCATAAAACCTTTAAAATTGTTGTCTAAATCCAGTAATATACCATAAATACAGCAAACAATACTTTTATATTATTGTCTAAAACCACAAATATACCAAAAATAATACTTTAATATTATTGTTTAAATCCATTATTATACCATGAAATACTTTTATATTATGTCTAAAACCATTAATATACCATAACATCATTGATATTATTGTCTAAAACCACAAATACACCATAAAATAATGTTATATTGTCTAAATACCATTAAATACTTTTATTTAATTCTTTCTAAAACCAAACTGATTGTTATAGTGGATCATCTGAAATGATTGGGAGCATGATTCAGCCTGAGCATCCATCAATCACACTGTGCTTTTCATTCAGCTCTTTCATCAAATATTCATCTCCACTTGATAACTCTGCTCCAGCTTGTCTTTCTGCTAGTGTCTCCTCGCTCCAGCACTCACAGTAACCCGTCCAATCTGCTGCGGCTGAGACCGAGATGTCTTTAAATAAGCAGCGCAGAGATAATAATAAAGCTGACCTTATTTCTCCTGCTGACCCCTGCACCACAATCCCCACAGAGAGAGAGGGTTTAATCCCGTCCCGTCTGGAGCCGCTGATGTGGGCCGTCCTGTGCTTAAGCCCCTCACACTGATCAGCATAAACCCCTCACACAGACACACACAGGGTCCCATACACACGCAAAAATGTTTAAACACTCACACAAACAGACACACACATCGTCCCACACACACAAAAATTTCACACAGACACACACACACATAGACACACACAGACAGACACACAGT